ATCCTCACTCCACGCATCCATGCGTCACGCGTCTTTGGTAGCGCATACTATGGGGGCTATATTTGTGGTGGCGTGTTTTACAGCGCTTTGCCAACAGCGCCAACCCACTGAAGTCTAGATTGCGAGTGGGGGGAGGGGGGGGCGTTAAGAGGACACCGAGTTTAAGGGTCTGCGAACGGGATCTTGAAAAGGTTTGGGGTTGGGAAACCGAGAGAGGGTCTGAGCGAGGGGTGCAAGCGCCTGGGACGGGTAGCAAACACGTGAAAAAACATGATGCCGGGGGTGCTGATGATGCATGCCGTAAGCTTTCGAACATAGGACCTCATGTCCTTTGGAATCAATTCCGGGCGCAGGTGTCGCCGGCCAGCGACAGGGGGGGGAGTAATGTATGACATCAACCAAATCATCGCGACCATATCGTCTCAGATTCGGCACATTTCCTTCTTCGAATGGGGGAGTCGGTAAGACCAACAACAATAACAGCATCTATCGGCCCCGCGCAAAACAGTGGAAGAAGACGCGTACCACTACTTCAATCAAGGGCGCGGGGGGCAGCGACAAGCTCAAAAGGTAAGGGCATATAAAAAAAACGACCGCATGGAACCCACACCTGCGGAAACAGAGGACAACAAGCGGAAATGGTATGAGTTGTAAATATCCCGCAGACGTACTATTTCTTTTGTCACTCAGCAGCTGTCTTCCCCCACTGTATGTGCAACGCCCTGACAGATGAACACGTCGTGAGAGTCTTTCGGCCGTCGACCTCTCCACGAAATCGGAATTGTGAGCGGTTGCACCCAACTGCTCTCCAAGGTGAAATTTTGCGTCGAGGATATTGACCATTATTGTTCGTTCGGCGCCGCTCCCGGTGTCTGATACGTTTTGCTTTAGATATGCTTTCAGTATTGAATGCCTGGCGCGTTTCCACACGAAAATATGCTAGCACGGCCCTTCTAAATAGCGGTACTGGGAGTGAGACCACGTGCGGCGTGCAGCCCGTGGCAAGCGTGGGCACGAGACCCACAGGTGCTACTACTCGAGCCACCAACAATTCCAACAGAACAGCTCCATGTTTGGCATTTTCCCACGAACGCGATCCACGCCAAAGAAACGAGTCACAGGACAGGGTGGCTGAGGCCGGCTCACCTCTTAACCCAGCGGAGAGTATCGTCTTCCCCCAGGCTGATGATGATGAGCCCCCGGCTGGACGTGGACCTGAAAGCCGCCAGAGGGGTGCGCTTGATGTAGCCTTTCTGAAAGAACGTCGAATAGACAAGCGTCGGAGCGAATCAGAACAGGTTGTATCATATCTTGCTCTGTTGGAGATGCCTCGACATATGAACCCCGCCCCTTCGTGACCCGCTAGCCATGCCTCCTGTCCCGTGCCAACTCATTTCATCGCATACGACGTTCCTACAACATCTATAAAAGTACGCAGACACACTGCCGCGAAGTGAACAAGAGGTAGCTTCCCACGTTGAGGTGGTACGTGGGTATTCGCGAAATCTGCTCCAAAATCAATTATTTGTTATCTTGTGAGAGACAGCTGCCGCCATTGCTCAATGCAGCTCTTGGCAAACGAACCTGTGTGAGGAGCACAAGGTACTCATCCTCCCTGAAGTCGTCCACGGCCAGCACGCTCGCGATCTCCTCGTCTCCCGCGATGGGCAGCACCTGAATGAAACGGTCTCGAAAGACCGGGGTTAGCACTCCACGCGTGAAGGGAGAATCCAATTGTAGTGCGCAACTACGGAATCATACTTACCCTTTTGGGCCTTCAGGCGTACTGACTGACTATTGACTGATCATTTGCAAATGCTGGTGTGGTGGCAAGCTCTGGAGTGGCCACCCTCTAGAGCCCTCCACGCCGAGTGTTGGGAAATCCATAGGTGAGTCTTAAATCTGTGCATTGACCGCGCTAGCCGGCTGACCACTGAAAATGCGTCAGTCCCAGCGGGTAAGACCTAGGTGTGGGACGGGGCTATACTTCGAAACATGCGCAATGCGCTCACTAAAAACGCCACAATTGACCTCTCTTCTTTCACAGAGACACACATCACAGCACCACGCATACCCTCGCCCGAACCAAAGCAGCCACTGATTCAAAAGAGCGGAGGGCTGCAAAAGGGTTACAGTATTTCAAACCCAGCCGAACCCAGGATATCGTGGTATGCTGCAACAATCTTTTTACAATCGTACAACAAAGCAGTGCGGACAAGTCAAACAACTTCGCATAGACAGAATGTACTACACATCATAGCTCCCCACGTACTCTCGGCCGAACCTAGGAAGCCGCTACGTACATGTGTGCCGGTGTGCGGGCGTGCGGGTGTGGTTGTGAGGAAAACAGGAGCTTTTGTGAGCCGGCAGGGCAGCAACATGACGGGGGGGGGGAGGGAAGCACAGAGGAAGTCGACATACCAGCGATGGGTCTCCAAACCCTCTTGACTGAGCATTTACACTGAATAAAATAATTTACTGAAAATAGAGAAGCTGAGGCAGTTAGACGACTGATCATTTCAAGGTCTAGATTGCTACCTGCCCTACCGGCCGCACGCAGCGCGGCGTGACCCCCCATCAACCCTTCAAGGACTGTTGCCACCACCCTGTCGCAATGGAATTTTCCCAGAAAATATACACAAGCCTCGAACGGTATGGCGCGCGGGCCGGAACGCCCACATAGGAGCGCGAGGGTCCGCGGACATTCATTATCACTTTCGGGAATTTCCCTGAAATGCTCTTAATCTGGTGTCTTTTCAAAGAGCAACGGATGTACATGAGGCACAGGGCCATCAATAGCTGCGCGAGAGTCTGCAGACTTCAATTTCGGAAAATTTACCGAAAACAGTCTACAATTTCCTCAATTAGGTTTGTCTCAAGCAGCGACAAATGTACCTGAGGCACCGGTACGCCCTTTGCGGTGCGAGATCCCACAGGGACTTGGAACGCCCTAATTCCGTACGCCACTCCCTTGTCGGACACGAAGAGAATCGTGTCGTGGTCCTAGATATTTCGACGAAAGAGACAACAAAAGCACCCCGCAGCATAGCAGTAATCAGAATACCGGCAGCAGATCGGTAGCAGCATCAGCGATCGTTTCATACCGACAACGAGAACAGGCCGAACAATAAGTGCTTCATGCCCGACGACAAAACATAAAAAAAACAAGAGCAGGTGTAGATAATACAGAATATTCCTCGAAGTGCACGCCGTAACTTCGCGGGGGTTGGCCTTGGCCCCAACCGCACTGCATCGTATGTACTAATGCAGCACAGACACCCACCGCATACAACCCAGGCAACCAAGATCTGGCAGTCACAAACCTGTTGGAAATTGATCGGGACCCTTGAATGAACAGAAATGTACCCAGGTAAGGGAGGTTTGGTGTACAAGAGCACGGCTTAGGATACTGTCACCAAGGTGTCGTGGATTTACCTGGCAGGTGAAGAAGTGCTGCACTACGTCGTGGTCGGATGACATCTTGGCACCGGCCTTGCCTCGAGTCCCCCTGGGAACAGACGACCACGAAATCGACAGAGGACGACCAGCAAGGATGCAGCGAGACCAGGCATTGAAACAACAGTTCCGCTGGAGAAGCCAATACCGCTACATTTGGCACACATTGGGAGACATGGAAATTTTGCACATTCCGCACCATCACAACATGAAAATAACAGGAGAGGAGGAAATTAAGCTCATCGTAGCTGGTTGGTGTATGCGTATTGCGGTAACCACACGAGGGAGCGCTAAAGCGCCTAAGTCGAAACTGATTTTCACGTGAATTCGTCAACATTTGTGCCGAACAAAACCATAGCGAAACACGAGAAAAGCACGCGCAGCTACTATCGTTTCACGGCGCACGGCGGCATCTCCACAGAGAAGTGCCCTGACTATTGGGACGCAGACACGTGTGAACGATGACTCTGTACTACTACCCCCGCGCCACACACAAAATGTGCGGACCACAAAGAACAGGTGAGCAGCCGTCGTAACCTGTTGCTCACCTGTTCTGTGCCGTGAACTCCTCCAGCGGCATGCGTTTGATGTAGCCGGCAGCGGTCACGACCACGACCGAGCTGTCGTTGGCCAGCAGGTCCTCTTCTTGGAGCTCGCCTACAACAGGGGGGGGGGGGGGG